CACTGGTATTGAGACTCACGGCAGTGCTCATATTCCAACGTATCTGAAGGTCACAGGTTTTGCAACTTCCTCCTCATCAACTAACAGAAAAGTTAATTGGACAATGTACAAGGCAAAGGTGGAAGAGGCATGCGATGATATCGCGTGCGGCCTCAAGGAGGTAATGAAAAATGAGATGGAAGATGTTACGTGCGCCTTTAAATACACAGCAAAGCCTACAGAATTTGATATAGAACTGGAACGACTACGAACGATTCGTAGGCGGGCGGAGAGGAGGTACAGGCGCACTAATTCAATTCATGACCTCAGAGACGCTCGACATCTAGAAAAGAAAATCCAACGTCGAATGGACAAGCTGGAGGACCAACGGGGGAAGAAATTTTGTGAATCACTCGATTCTCGCAAGCCTATGTCCCATATATGGAGGACGGTGCGTGGACTTGGCTCGACTCCACAATCTACGTCCATTCAGCTCATTGGCTCTCCATCAAGGCCGCCTGCAGGTTGACGTTGCTGAAGATTTCTGCGTGAGGATTGCGGGCAATGCGGTTACCATGAGTGACGAAGTTCTCGGGGATGTTCCCGTAGCACGAGTTTCTGAACTGAATATGCTTTTCTCACTCGAGGAACTGGATGCAGCTCTAGCCACTTGCAGACGTTCATCGTCACCTGGGCCGGACGGTATTACATACGCTGCTTTATGCCATCTTGTAAGACGCGGCCGAGACCAGCTACTAAAATGCTACAACCAGTCATGGAACGATGGCGTCGTTCCAGAAAGGTGGAAATCCAGCCGCTTGGTACCAATCCTCAAATCTGGAAAGTCGCCGCTTGATCTGGCATCATATCGACCCATTGCGCTATCCAGCTGCGTGGGGAAAATAATGGAAAGAATGGTTCTGACACGCCTAGAGTGGTACCTTGAACGCTATAATATATACCCAGAGGCCATGGCTGGTTTTCGAAGTGGCCGCTCTTCTATTGATAATGTCATCGACCTCGTAACCTCTGTGCAACAACAGAAATACCTCAAGCGCATCTCGGTTGCAATGTTCCTCGATGTGAAAGGTGCATATTACAACGTAACGCACGATGCCATCCTAGATGTCTTGGTGAACATTGGAATCGGTGGAGAAATGTTTCGATAGATTCGGAGCTACCTACAGAGGAGATCCTTCTTCGTGCTCACTGCGGAAGGCCGCACCGTTGATCCTTACACCGCTCGTGGCGTTCCACAAGGCGGGGTTCTCAGCCCTACGCTGTTTAACCTCACGATCATTGGCCTTGTACAAAGCCTACCTCGATCAGTCAATATATCTACATACGCTGATGATATATGTATCTGGGCTTCAGCAGTGACACGACTCCAGGTACGCGCACGGCTCCAGAAAGCAGCGAGAATAACGTCGACGTACCTCCATGCTCGGGGCCTCACAATTTCCACCGAGAAGTGCGCCTTAGTCCCTTTTACCCGCAAGCCCATGATCTATTATCCTGTTTCTATCGACAACGTGAACCTTTCGTATATGAGACGTCACCGATTCCTGGGCGTTACTATCGACAGAGATCTCTCGTGGAGTGCTCACATCTCGCACTTGAAGAAGCTCAGCTCTACCACACACGTGATGAGATTTCTCGCTGGTAAAACGTGGAGCACATCAGTGTCATCTATGCTTCAGCTGTACAGAGCGCTCTTCTTGGGATATTTGCGGTATAGCACGCCCGTGCTTTCCAACGCCGGAAAAACTAACATCAGGGTCCTGCAAAGCATTCAAGGCCAAGTCCTCCGCACATGCTTGGGGCTACCTCGGTGCGCTATACGTTAGCAGCAATTGGTATTGCTGGAGACAATCCGATCACGACATATATAACTGCCGACACACTCCGGACACATATCCGTCACATATCCAGAGTGCCCAACCACCACCTTGCTAACTTGCCACTAGAAAGACCATAGGCAGCGTTTTCCAAAGTTGTTGCGGCTAACCAGAATTCCATCTCGTGGAGATTCTCGCCCGCAACCATACCACTATCTCCAGAGTGGTGCATGAAAAGACCGACTGTGCACCTTGAAGTGCCGGGGATATCTAAAAAGGCAAGCCTGTCATCTGCAGCCCTCAAGGAGATCTCACTGGACCTCTTGCATTTGTCGTATGCTAACCGAATTCATGTTTACACGGACGGTTCGGTCTCGGGAAGTTCGACAGGTGCCTTTGTCATACCATCTCGATCAATCACCGTCAAATTCAAGACATCACATGTCACGACATCTGTGGGATCTGAGCTTGCCGCTCTTCAAGCCACTGTGGAGTTTGTTACGCAAGAATCCCCTAGTAGATGGGCCATTTTCTGCGGCTCCAAGGCAGCCCTTCAATGCGTGCGAAGTCTACGACGTGGAAACTACCACCAGATGGTGTATCGTATTAATGAAAGTTGTCATCGCGCTGCTGATCAAGGGCATGACATTGTTTTACAATGGTTGCCGGGCCACTGTGGCATCAGTGGTAACCACTTTGCCGACGAAGCTGCCCGATGTGCCCACGATGGAGCGCCTACATTGTTAATACCCTTTTCAAGAGTAGACGCAGCTAGAGAACTTCGTCACATTGCGCATAATGCCACGCTTGCGCACTGGAATTCTCCACTTAACTCCAATCATCACCCTACGAATCTTAAGTCATTACGTCAGAAACAACTGCCATCCAAGATTTCTCGACGTGACGCTACAATGCTGTGCCGGCTGTGGACTGGGGTAGCGTTTACTAAATCATTCAGCCATCGCATTGGCATGGCGGATTCATCCATGTGTGAAAGCTGCAACTGTATAGAGACTATTGAACATCTCTTGTGCCACTGTGCCAAATTTGATGAAGATCGCCGGACTCTCCAGTGTGCCTTGAATAGACTAGATGACCGGCAATTTGATGAAGCAACGATCTTAGGAGCCTGGTCGCGCAGCACATCAGCACAGAAAGTCACACGAGCCCTCCTGAGATACTTGTCAGCAACTTCATTGAGGGACCGCCTGTGAAACTTGGCATTGTGTGTGTGATGTGACATGTGTCTATTCTTTTCTCTCTCTTTTACTCCCCCTCCCCTTTCCCATGTGTAGAGTAGCAAACTGGACGCATAGTCTAGTTAACCTCCCTACTTTTCCTACATTCCTTCTCTCTCTCTCTACCCTTCTAATACGATTAATCAGGACTACAGTCAAGGATCGGACAGTGCGGTGAATCTGTTCGAATGGCATTTCTCGCCATTACTTATCGACAGAATGGTTGACAAAGACAAAGAAATCGAAGCCATGAAATTAAATTTTGTTACGCTGCAGCTGTAGAATTCGACCGAAAACCCGCTCGATCACTGTACCCTATAGCGTGCTCGCCGCTGTGCGCATTGTAAGTACCTGTATACAAAGTAAAAATATAACGTGCCCCGCCGAGGTGGTCTAGTGGCTAAGGCACTCGGCTGCTGACCCACAGGTCGCGAGATTGAATCCCGGCTGAGGCAGCTGCATTTTCGATAGAGGCGGAAATGCTGTAGGCCCGTGTGCTCATGCAGATTTGGAGAATCCCATTGTGGTCAAAATTTCCAGAGCCCTCTACTGCGGCGTCTCTCATAACCATATGGTGGATTTGGGACGTTAAACCTCACATATATGTCTAAAAATATAACATGAACCTATAATGCAGCTGTGAAACTACATCAGCCACGTATACGCTATCGACAGCACTGCCATTGTGCGCGGGCGCCTGTGGAAAGCGTGAATGCATCTGTGCACATGACCACGTATAGATTGCACGGCTGTTACGCAGCACGTTATCCCGCAGCAGCGAGGACACGAGTTGCAGCAGACAGTTTGAATCATCATTCAGCACCAGTTTGCGCCCAGTTAATGGGACGGATATAATCTGGGTCACCTCTTGTTTCTATTCTTCCGTAAAGCATCACCGGTCGTGTCGAAAGTGCACGCACTATCTGCGCTGTATGACGTCCCACGTTGTCCGTTTGGTGCGTTCTGTCGCTTCTTTTTTTTTCTGTATAGGTATACACTTCCCCGTTATATGAAGGAGAAAGGCTTCCATCTGCACCGTTATAACAGTGTAGCCGTGGTAATGCGTTAAATGATCACTGCCATACCAATCGCCACTATACTGCTCTTGCCTATACAGTATTGGACTGTAGCGAACAGCGGTGGTAGAATAACAACAATAATATATGTGGTTTTACGGGCCAAAACCACGATTTGATAATGAATGATTATGAGGGGCACGCCGTATAACAGATGCTTCGTAAATGTCTACCATCTGTTAACGTGCATCGACACCGCGCAGTACACAATGTAGTTTGCGTCTATCGAAATGCGACCACCGCGGCCGCTATCAAATCCGGGACCTTTGGGTCCGCAGCCGAGCACCGGAACCAATGGGTCACCGTGGCGTCTCCAGGGACCAGAAACGGGTCTTTCAGAGAGAGAGAGAAAAAAAAAGAGAAAAACTTGTTCCTCGATTCGTTAAGTTCATTCATTGTTTCTACCGCGCGTATACAGCCAGGTGGTGTGATTTCACGAGGAGCAAAACATACAGCCGTGGCCCCGTGCGCTTTTTATATGTAGGTCCCGCATTTTCCTCGAGCGAGGCCTGTCATCTGCGGGGCAAAACCCTGGACGGCACGCGTCCGATCCTGCGTCAGAACACTGTCCGCCGAGCGATGCGATGACGTGCGCCACGGGCGAGCGCCCACTTTGACGGCTGGATCCGGCCGCTGCTGCCCTCTGCACGCGCGCCTCAAATCCGGTCCGCAGCGATGTCCGAGGCAGCGCGCGACCTTCTGAGTCATCGCTTTAATGAGGTTTCACCAAAGCCGATGCGAGGAGGCCCGCGCTGTTTTCTTCTTTCGCGTCGTCTTTCTCTTTCATCGCGTAATCGACTTACGCCGGTGTGCGCAACGCTGACGTATGACTCGCCGACGTCGGTGTAGCCGCCGCCGAAGCAGTTCAATCAGTTCAATCGCCGCAACGTGCCACGCTGCTCGTGCGGTCACGCGCGTGCGTGACAACTCAACCGGGGGCAGTAAACGTGCAGCTCTGTCTGCCAGTAGCCGCGTTCAACTGGTTACCGAAGCACCGACGGACCTCGAGGAGCAGCTATACATGAATTCGCCATTGCTATCCCCTTTCACGTGAGCATCTGACTACTCTATTCTCAGTGCATCTTGATTTCGCACCATTGTGGGGTACCTCCCGCGCGTCTCACTGCATCCACGCTTCCCGCCGCTTGTTCGGTGTGACCTTCCTGAGTCTCGGCGCCCGTTGATGCTCCAGGCTTCAGTTCGTACATATCTTATTCTCGTTTGAAGCACGCTGGTAAACACGTCGCAGTATCTTTTCTTCTTCTTTTTCTTCCTTGCTCGAGTTGTCAGCGATGCTCGATCCATGTGTGCCCTCACGTCCAGAGAAAAGAGACAGCGCGTGAAAAACGAATTACTAGAAGGACAGCACGAATTCGTGCGAACACGGTCCGAGAAATCGACTATGTGGCGCGACTGTATTGATGGGGACTGCGCACATAAGGTCGGCAGTCCCCGTCATGAATGCAGTTAGCTTTTGAAGTGAATATTGTTTCCATGTGAATGGCATCGTTTATTTTTTACCCTCACTAATGAAAAAAAAAACAAAAGGCGGTGCAATGACTGTCGAAGCTAAGCGAAAGCTTATCGGCAGACCTTCTGCAGAACTTGGGGTTCATGCAGACCACCTCAACATTTGCCCAGTGCTCCCGCATTTATCACGCTGTCGGTCGCACAAAGTTTACCCTCTATACCTTCCAGCAGTCAGAAACTATACGACAACGGCTGCTTCCGAAAGCCGGAAAATATTCGCCCAGTATACCTTCACCTGCACAAAATTTCCGAAAGACGAAAAATAAAGGCGGTAGAAAGAATCAGCAACTTAATCACCGATAGGAGACAAAGCTGAGGTGATAAAGGTGGGACACGTTATTCACCAGATGCCACTTTCATTTCGTATAAAAATGCGTGGGGAAAATAGGGCTATTACTTAAAGCGACATGCATAGAGAGCACTGCAGTGAGTGATGTTAATGAGCTAGAACGCACCGGCATGTCAGCTGTGAACTGCAGCACATGCACGCGTCTGTTTCTTGTTTGATGAATAAGTTGTGTGCTCTGATAAGGACGAAATGACCGGATTCAATTGTCTAATCCACAAATAGGCTTGGCCAAGAGAGCACAATTAAGTATACTAATTCGCTATCCTTATCGAGGGAACTAATGGCATTTTAAGCTAGCTCTTACCAATATCTCGCGCACGTTTGGTATTCGTATCGGTTATACAAACTGACGATCCCGCTTCAAAATAAGTTACTCGCCAAAACTGCATTCCATTGTGTTGCAGATTTCTAGGAGATCCTCTTAGCATTCCGCCTTCACCAGAATTCTGTTTGAAATCGCTATGTTGCGCTCGCAAAGAAGACTAGGAAAACTGCGGAAGGACTGTGAATGAAAGTGGACATATCACCGCAAATAAGAAATGACACCACGTGATGTAAGCAGCCGTATCTTTCTGCAACGTAGAAACATTTAGATGCCCATATCTACACAAGCTATATATAGTTTCTTTCAGTTCACCGCGGTAGTTCTGTCGCGGGTTTGACCCTCGCCGCGGTGGTCACATTTCGAAGGAGGCGATATGCCCGTGTACTGTGCCATCTCGGTGCACTTTAAGTAACGCCGGATGGTCGAAATTTTCGGAACCGCGCACTACGGCGTCTCTCACAATCATAGCATCGTTTTGGGACTTCAGAACGGCAATGTCCACAACAATACCGCGCAGGTTCGCTGCTCTGATCATGACGGAAGGTTGCTGTTCGGAATGTGAAAGAACCGCGCGCGACGGTCGTTTTTATGCGGTCAGCCGTGTCGCGATATTCTGCATTCAAACAGGCTCTGCTCGGACGCGAGTTTCGTTCGAAACACCCACAGCAGTCACTGCCCAATGCCGCAGCTGGTCTGCTGTGCCATCGGTTCGATATAGCACGCATAAAATGTTTTTGCTTGCGCAGATTAAGTCTGCACTTTTCCTGCCACGAAAGCAGGTTTTTCATGTATAATGTTTCACTTCACCAGCTTTTTTTTTCTTGCTCTTGGCGTATGAAAACACCGGGTGTAACATCTGGCGAACTGCTGTGTTACGTGAGAACAGTCGCGTCCTTGAGCGCCGCAGAAGCGCCTGTGACATTTAATCGACGCGCCTATCAGCTCGGAGAAAAGGGCAGCTGGTGGCGAGCGCATTAGAAGCACGCGCACTTGAATTGAAGATGAAAAGAAAACCAGAGCACTGACCGCACAAAAATCAATCGGGACGCGTTTCAGACAGTGCAAAGAGCACCAGACTGCACGTTTGTGTTGTGTTTGTTGTCATCAGAGTGTTTATCATACTACGAAAACATGGGCTTCTCTACAATTGAAATCAACTGTTTCATTTTTTTCTGTGTTTAAAGATTACTGGAAAACAAGACTGCCGCTTCAGTATAAATGTGATGCGATATATGGCAATCGAAGCCGCGTAAGTGCGCACGCACATGTGAAGCACATTGTTATCTCCCTATGGAGAGAGGGAGATAACAATAAAGGAACCCAAAAGAGATCCGAAAATATGTTACGTCGATCTGCTTCTTCCGTAATCGCTGTGGTTTTTCGCGCCAAAACCACGATGTCATTATGATGCACACCGTAGTGGACGGCTCTGGAAATTTCGACCACGAGTTGTTATTCAACGTGCACTGACATCGTGCCGTACACGGGCCTCTATAGCTTTTCACATCCGTCCATACGCAATCACCGCGGCCAGGATCGAACAAGCGACCTGCGGGTCAGCATCCGGGCACCGTGACCACCGAGGTGGACTTGCTTCTCGCGTAGCGGCTATGCAGCACTGCGAGACTGGATAGATAAGCCTAACGAGGTGTAATTCTTGATAACGATAACTCATGATGTAGTGAAACTCCACGCAGAATACATTAAAGCATACAGACGATGCATACAACATGTTCATATACAAATAGCAGGATTTATAGCGAATCTCCTACATTTCGTGAGTGAGTGCCTGTTAGGGAAACGAAACTGTGGCAGATCGCAGATGCCAGTGGACCCTGATGTGCATAAAACAGACGTGGTAATAATATGCGAAGCAACTCATGCGATTTGGATGCTGTTATATACACGTACTGGGGAAAGCGTCATGCCATATGACGTTCGGACACATGCACGCACTACGCAGCTAAACAGGACATGTCTCGAAAACCCCAACTCTTCTCGATCGCAACGCAGAAGAGCGCCCATTTCATGTACATGCAAAAGAAAGGCACGATGGGGGAGATGGAAGCTCGCGATGTGTTTGCATTTCATGGAAGACTGGACAAATACCGGACTGAGCATGCAGGCGCGATATGAGAATAACGCTGAGTGGATCGCTTTGTTAGGGAGGATGCGCAAGAAGCCTCGTTAAAAATGGGGCATGTGAGGGCGATGTTTGTGAGCGTGGAGCTTGACAAACAAGCGGAATCGCTTTCTCGGCAATGACTTCCGAGCACGTGAATGTCCTTCATAAAGATTTTGTTTTTTCTGTCTAGTTACACACTGCAAGAAACATCGATTGTTCACGCTAGCATTCCTTACGATATTTTCTCCCAATAAATTCAAGACCAAACAATAGAGGTGCTACCTGCATTGAATAGTCGGCTTCGCTTATCGTGTACGTCCAACATCTGAACTGGCTGCAGTTTCTTTCTGCACTAATCATATTCATAGAGAGGTGATTTTTTTTCCTTTTAACTTTTTCTGAACGAACCAATTAAAACGTTAGGCTACTGGTCATGCAAAATGCACAATTTATTTATGAAGCGCGACGTGGTGGAATATTACGGATTGAATCTAAGTACTCTACACTTCACCGTAGACTGCAGTTGTAGGCATAATTGTGCGCCGCTGCGGCGGACAACTATGCCTACAACTGTAACTCATAACAGCTCAGGATGTTATTACGTGTCTCATAATTGTACAGTGTTTTGAGATGTAAAACTAGGGAGTTGCAAAACAACAAATTACTTGCCCCTATGCTGTCCGTCGTTTCATAAATAGTTGCAAGTACTAAAAATTATTGGGCCCCTCAATCACTTCCCCTTTGTTTGTTTTTTCAGTCCACTTCAGTGTGGAAAAAATACGCAGTACTATAAGCATATCTGTTATAACATGCTCAAAAAGCCGAGAAATATATATATATATATATATATATATATATATATATATATATATATATATATATATATATATATATATATATATGTATATATTAACGGTGAAATGAAAGGGGGGAAAAGCGTAGGTGTTGATGACTGCCTCCTCACACCAGTCCTGCTTTTTAACCCAAAAGTTTTATTCCAGGGACCGCCATTGCTCCGATGACGTATTTCCGTCACGGATATAAATTAAATACAAAGAAAAAAAACGTTGTCACCGGGCGTCTAATCTACAACCTCTCGCGCCTCACCGCGCGATGCGAAACCACTGTATACGCCACCGAATGTACGTTGTACAGCTTGATGATGGCGAGCTATTTAAATACACCATATACGGTCGGCAGTCGTGAGAGCTCAGCAGTTTCAGCGCGTTTTCGTCATCAGTAGCGAGATGGCGCGAAGGACACGCGTTGGGCAAAAGGTCGTCGCTCCACGCATTTCGATGCGCGCGCACCTCCACAGGGCGTAGTCGTTCGTGCGGGCGCGCTTATCTCGTGATTGCGGAGTTTTGTACATCTTGTGCTTCCATCGCACATTTGCTTTGAAGTTGCAGTGCTTAAAGAGAGCACGAAGATCACTTCGCTCGCTGCCGCAGACGTGTTTATAACAGTAGCGCGCTGCTTACACACGCACAAGTAAGAGTTGACAGTTGTTCGCGCTCGTCCTGTGCTTTTCTTTCATGTGTCTTTTTGTTTGAGCAACGCTCTTTGAGTGTCGAGCTGTGACAGTTGTTAGTTCATGCTCTTTCTGTGTATGCTCATTTCGTGCGTTATGTGCACGCTGCATGTTTCGAGCTGACTGCCGTTCTGTAGCGTTCGATCATTCTCCCTCGTGGCGAAACAATTGGCGCTCAACTGCCTCTGTG